AAGCCCCACATCAGGCTCCCTGCTCGGCGGGAAGCCTGCTTCTTCCCTCTTCCACCCCCCTGCTTGTGTTCCCTCTCTCACTGTGTCTCCCTTTGTCAAATAAATAAAATCTTTAAAAATAAATAAATAAATAGATAAAATTCAATCATCAGTACTGCATGACAACTATGTGTAATATGCACAAATATTTGGCACTCTATCACAAATTACAATAGTAACAGTAATCATAATAGTACAATTAATGTTTTATTTATAAAAGAAAACTGAACCAAAAAAATTCAAATAGAATCTAATACTATTTCAAGATTCCTTCAAATCTTTATTCATGTTTAAAACAGATCTTGCAGTTATAAAATAATGCTACAACTTTTCCCATGTATCTGTTACTACTTAATGATTTTGAAAAAGTACCTAACAATCTATTTGAGGTTTATCCCCATACATATTTAGCAGTTGGACAAACTAGCATAAAATCTCAAGTTATGGAATTTATATTCTAGGTCATAATGGTTCTAAAAATATTTGGTTTTTAGTTATTACGATCATTCACTTCTTAAAAACTAGAAACATTTAAAATCTGCTTAACAAACATGTTCTCTTACCAAATGATCATTTTCAATCAAAATCTTATTGGCAAAAAAGGATTACACACAGATACCCTAAAGAGGGTAAGGAAAGGACAAAACAAGCAACAGACAGAAAATCTGAAGTAGAGAAGTTGACTCACAAAATGACTCACAAGCATTTCCTGGGTATTTTGTCCAAGAAAACTCCTCTGACTAAAGTGGAAACTTGTTTGGCTACAACCCATTAGTCTATTATTATGATTAATGCCATGGTGCCAAATATTTGAGCATGTGGCATATGGACAAGAAAAACCTCCTACGTGTTGATTTTTTTTAAAATATTTTATTTATTTATTTGAAAGAGAGATAGCAAGAGCGACAGACAGAACACAAGCAGGGGAAATGGGAGAGGGAGAAGCAGGCTTCCCGCTGAGCAGGGAGCCCGATGCGGGGCTCGATCCCAGGACCCTGGAATCATGACCTGAGCTGAAGGCAGACGCTTAACGGCTGAGCCACCCAGGTGCCCCTACGTGTTGATTTAAATACTGGGGCATTTTAGCCCATAACTGTTTAGCTAATACGGAATAGGAACTGTCAACTTCTATCTAGTTCCTTCTAACTTGTGTAGGAACTGAACCAATTTCAAAAGCCCAGCAACAATTTTGACTAGTTATGTAGTAATATTGCAAAAGGTGAAGATAAAAGCTAGTCTTTTGAAGGAATAAAGGGAATAAGTTTTGCAGATGTTGACATAAAATCAAGTCAATATTATTAACAAAGTAGAAAGATGATTTATGTCCTTTTGAGAGTCTCAAAGAAATCCTGTGGGTCTTATGAAAACTCAGATAAAAGATACAGGATAAAAAATTTCCCTGTGGAAACATCTAAATTACAGATCCTTTACTCCTACTGGCAAACAAGACAAAGCAACCTGAAGACAAAATATAATTAGGGAAGTCAACAGGATCATAAATTAAAAACCAGAATGTACACACCAACTTATTACATATATTTTTCTCTCAAACTTAACCAATATGTTGAGCACTACATGTGAAACTTAATACTATTTAATTTTTTTTTTAAAGTAGGCTCCATACCCAACATGGGACGTGAACTCATGACCCCAAGATCAAGAGTTGGCTGCTTTACCGACTAAGCCACCCAGATGCCCCAATTACATAATACAGAATAACTCCCTTACCCCTATCAAAAACAAAAAGATAGGAGAAGGAACAAATCTAATAAATACTTTTGTTCTTTCTTAGCTAATATAACTGCCACTGTATTAGTCCCTCAGAACTCCTCTGAAAAACTAAAAGACCCTCCGCTGACATCAATGTAAGCCTCAAGCCTCCATCTCCATTATTCTCTCAATTCCAACCCATTTGTCTTTATTTTATTCTTAAGATTTTATTTATTTATTTGATAGAGAGAGACAGAGCGAGAGAGGGAACACAAGCAGGGGAAGTGGGAGAGGGAGAAGCAGGCTTCCTGCTGAGCAAGGAGCCCGAGGCGGGGCTCGATTCCAGGACCCTGGGATCATGACCTGAGCCAAAGGCAGGTACTTAACGACTGAGTCTTTAAAGCAGTTTTGTTTTCCTAACATTTTCATCTATAATTCTCCTAATTAATAAATAACCTCCAACAATTCTTTACTATGTACTGCTAAAATTAGGGGTGATTCTTTTGGGCAGGGCAAAGGGGAAAGGCAGTAATAAGGAATTCAGTTCAGAAATATCTGCCTTAGGGGTGCCTGGGTGGCTCAGTCAGTTAAGCGTCTGACTCTTGGTTCCAGCTCAGGTCATGATCTCAGGGTCGTGAGATGTCATGAGATCAAGCCCCACATCATGTTCCATGCTCCGCGAAGAGTCTGCTTGAGATTATTTTCCTCTCCCTCTCCCTACCTCTCTGTTCCTCCTCTCACTTGTGCTAATAAATAAAATCTTATAAAAAAAATACCAAAACAAGATAAATATCTGCCTTAGACATTCTATCAATTAAGAGATTTACTTAGATTAATAAATGCCTTTTTTTTTTTTAAAGTAGGCTCCACATGGAGCCCAATGTGGGGTTGGAACTCATGACTCTGAGATTGAGACCTGAGCTGGTATCAAGAGTCAGATGCTTAAATGACTGAGATACCCAGGTGCCCCAATAAATGCCTTTTAAAAATGTAAACATCAAACAGAAGGATCAGGGGGCACCTGGGTGGCTCAGTCAGTTAAGTGTCTGCCTTCAGCTCAGGTCATGATCCCAGGGTCCTGGGATCGAGCCCCATGTTGGAATCCCTGCTCAGCAGGGAGTCCCTTTCTCCCTCTACCCCTCCCCTCCTTGCTTGTGTGCACTCGCTCTCACTCTCTCTCTAATAAATAAATAAAATCTTAAGAAAAAAAACCCAAAAGGGTCAGGATTATCCTTCAAATTTACATATTAACACCCCAATTTTGAGAAAGAAGAAAAAGTGAACTTGAGAGTGCAGCATGAAGAGAGGTCCACGTAAGTGGATGATGGCTAGCAGAAAGACAGCTGAGAGAGAGGAAGAAGTCTAAGACCAAGACTAGCCTAGAGACCGCAGGAGAGAAGTGTAGGGCACTGAAAATCTCTATCTAGGCACAGATAGCTCTTTATAATGTCCAGTTCTCTTTCCTGTTCCCCAACATCATACTCATTTCATTTTACTTTTATAAACCTTTCATTCACTCTACTATAATGTGCCAATCATCAAGCTAATATCAGGGCTACAAAGATAATGAAAAAGAGTATTTCTTTTCATGAAGATGTTATACTGGGAGAAGAGGGAAGCAACAAGTAACCATAAAACAGTAAAAATACTATTAAAGAAGTGTACACTGAATACTATACGGTCACAGAAGAATGAACTGCCTCTGACTACAGAGTTAAAAAGGTATGTCTTGGGGACAGCTGGGTGGCTCATTCAGTTAAGCGTTTGCCTTCAGCTCAGGTAATGATCCCAGAGTCCTGAGATGGAGCCCCACACTGGGCTCCCTGCTGAGCAGGGAGCCTGCTTCTCCCTCTCCTTCTGCCACTCCCCCTGCTTGTGATCTCTCGCTCTCTCTCTCTAATAAATAAAATCTTTAAAAAAAAAAAAAAAGCTATGTCTTTTTTTTTTTTTTTTTAAGATTTTATTCATTTATGTGACAGAAAGAGACATAGCAAGAGAGGGAACACAAGCAGGGGGAGTGGGAGAGGGAGAAGCAGGCTTCCCGCTGAGCAGGGAGCCCGATGCGGGGCTCAATACCAGGACCCTGGGATCATGACCCGAGCTGAAGGCAGACGCTTAACGACTGAGCCACCCAGGTGGCCCAAAAAAGGTATGTCTTGAAAAATAATAGAATAATAGAAGTTTGCCAGATAGACATGGGCAGAGAAGGCATTCCAGATAAGAGCTGCAGAATATAGAAAAGGATACAGATAAGAGCCAAACTAAGCAGAGAATGCTATACTGAATTTGGGATGTCATTCTGTAGGCCACAGGGAGCTATATTTTATCGTAGGGGATGACCTCAGAAAGAATTTTGCAGTCCACATTAATTATAACATTAATATGATTACATGTTATCGCAAGGTGTCTTAGTGCCCCTCACTTCATGTTTCTTATGTTTCTTATCTAAATTAAGGTTTTCTTAACAGCAAGAACCACCTATATCTTAAATGAAGACTCTTAATAATACTTACTGAATAAGAAAAGGCTGAGGTATTTGATAGTACAAACCAAATGCTAAGTTGAATATCACTGTTTTCTAAATGTTTTGTCCGTTAAGTCTTTGTTTTTTAAAACCTCCTTCATGGTGTACACCGTATCATAAATTCCTTTTATATTCCAGTACCCAAACCACAACCATACGTGTATATAATACACGTATATACACATATACATACATTATTTGGGGAAGGTGAGAGAGCAGCTTACTGAAAGCAGATTGATAAATCTTTATATATCATATATACTTTTTCCTCTGTAAGGGAAAGTTAGAGTTGAGAATCAGAACAGAAAGCATAAAACATGACAACCACTGACTCTACCCACTACTGCTACCATCCCATCATTTTAAAGGGATAAGTAAGGTGGCGGGTGGAGATGGGAGGAAAAAAGAAAGCACAGATATATTACCTGACAGCAATGGAAACGATGCTTAGTGTGCTTTCAAGAGCACATAAGAAAGGACTTGAACCTTCTCTATTATCACAGAGAACACATGTGAGGCTCATGGTATAATGAGAAAATTTCAAGGCTGTAGGTTTTTCCCAACATCACACCACTGAAGTACAATCACTTTCAAAACAAATTACCACCTGTTCCTGGTCAAACTGTTAGACATTATCATTGTTATTAAATATGAAAGATAAACATAACTACTAAAGCAAAGACAAATATTAACAGCAAAATAATCTCCAGGACTTCATGATTCTTACCTGTTCACTCTCCTAGGACACTTGTCTGGTTTAATATCTACCTCATAGAGGTAGACATCAATCTTTGGGATTTCAACTTGAAAACAGTTAGCCAGCAATTTAATGGGTTTGCCCATGGTGCCATAGCCAGGTCTTCTGGGCACCATGAGTAGGGGCTGGGCCCCAACGGGTCCTGCCAGGGAGAGGGGAAAAAAAAAAAAAAGAGTGACACTGTTATAAGCTGCATTTGATAATCTTGTCAATCAGAATATATTAGAATTTTAAGTACAGCTGATAATGGTTGAAGTCTAGCGCTGAAAGATGGCATTTCTAACACTTCAACTTTTTTCTCCCCAAATTACTCTCCCCAGTTAAATAGATTTACAAACAAAAAACTGGGTATCTCTGGAAAGTTGTTTCAGAAGGGGTAGGAAGAAGGGAGAGCAATCACATAAACCCAGATGAGCATGAGCAAGCACAAACCAGACCCAAAGAGTGTGAGACCAACAACAATGTAAATTTATTTTTTTTAAGGATTTATTTTAAAGATTTTTTATTTATTTGACAGAGAGAGACACATTTCTTTGACACTGTCAAATAAATAAATAAAATCTTTAAAAAAAAACAAGTGAACAAAATACAATATGATATAAGGATCAATACAAGAAAAATCAACAAAGTGCAAATTGGGTATTTTGAAAATTATTTGAAAAGATAAAACTGATAAACTCCAGGCAACACTGATTTTTGTATTTTTTTTTAAAGATTTTATTTATTTATTTGACAGAGACACAGCGAGAGAGGCAACACAAGCAGGGGGAGTGGGAGAGGGAGAAGCAGGCTTCCCGCCGAGCAGGGAGCCCGATACGGGGCTCAATCTCAGGACCCTGGGATCATGACCTGAGCCGAAGGCAGACGCTTAACGACTGACCCACCCAGGCGCCCCAACACTGATTTTTAAAAGAGAAGGATGGGTGCCTGGGTGGCTCAGTCAGTTAAACCTAGGACTCTTGATTTTGGCTCTGGTCATGATGTCAGGGTCGTGGGATCCAGCCATGTAGGACTCTACACTCAGCAGGGAGTCTGCTTTAGATTTTCTTCCTCTCCCTCTGCCCCACCCCTCTCCCGCCTCTCATGTGAGTGCATTCCCTCCCTCTCTCAAATAAATAAATCTTTAAAAAAAAATAAAAGAGGAAAAATAATATAAGTGAAAAAAATGCTATCACTACAGACACTGAAGGCATAACATTTTGTCAATAAATTTGGTGAAAGAGACAAATTACCAGAGAAATACAGGTTACTGACACACGAAAGTATGTAAAATTTGGAAAGTCCTCTGTTGGTAGAAATATAAGATGGAAAACAATATTGTGGTTCCTCAAAACATTAAAAATAGAATTACTATATGATCCAGCAATTCTACTGCAGTGTACACACCCAAAAGAATTTGAAGCAGAGTGTTGAAATGATAACCATATACCATTGCTCATAGCACCATCATTCACAACAGCCAAAAGATAGAAGCAACCTAGTGTCCGCTAATGGATGAATGGATAAACAAAATGTGGTATATACATATAATGGAACATTAGCCTTAAAAAGGAAGGAAATTCTGACATTTCTTTAAGAGATGAACCTTGCAGATGTTATGTTACATCACAAAAGGACACTGTATGATTCCACTTATTAATACCTATAGTAGTCAAAATCAGAGAGAAAAAGTACAAGGGTGGTTGCCAGGGGCTGGGGAAAAGGAAGAATGGGGTTGGGCATCTGCCTTTGGCTCAGGTCATGATCCCAGGGTCCTGGGGTGGAGCGCTGCATCAGGCTCCCTGCTCAGCAGAGTGTCTGTTTTGCCCCTTCCCCTGCTCTTGATTGTGTGCTCTCTCTCTGAAATAAATAAAATCTTTAAAAAATATTTTTTTTAAAAAGAAAGAAAATGCACAATAGCTAAAATGTATCAAGCTCTTACCATATCTCAGGCAATGTGCTATATGCTTTATATGCATTATCTCATTTAATCTTCATACAAACCCTACAGTGATTTATAGATGAGGAAAACTGAAGTGATTTGCTAAAACATCATAGCAGGCAAGTAGCAGAACTGGGACTGGAACCACCCTGTTGAGCTATTTTGTTCCATTGATCTGTCTATCCTTTCTCCAGTAACACACTGTCCCGATTACTATAATTTTATAGTAAGTACAGTTTTGAAGTCAGGTAGTGTCAGTCTTCTGACATTATTCTCCTTCAATACTATGTAGCTATTCTGGTTATTTTACCTTTCCATATAGACTTTAGAGTCTTTTGATACCTACAAAATAACTTACTGAGATTTTGATTGGGATTATGCTAAATATACAAACCAAGTTCGGAAAAACTGACATCTTTACAATATTGAATCTTCCTATCCATGTACATGGAATATCATCTCCCTACACATTTCTTTCTTCTTCTTTGATTTCTTTCATCAGAATTTTGTAGTTTTCCTAATATCTTGCACATATTTTGTTAGATTTATACGTAAGTATGTTGGGCAGATTTATACGTAAGTATGTTGGGGTGCTAATATAAATAGTATTGTGCCTTTAATTTCAAATTCTAATTGTTCATTGCTTTACTATACGGTTACAATTAACCAAGACAGTGTGGTATTATTCAAAAACCACATGAAAAGATAAGCAGAACAGAAAGTCCCAAAATTGATCCACACAAATACAATCAACTGATCTTTGACAAAGGAACAAAGGCAATTCAATGGAAAAAGGATAGCCTTTTTCAACAAATGGTGCTGAATAAGGGGATATACACATGCAAAACAAAAACAACAAGGGAAAAAAAAGCATCTAGACACAGCCCTAACATCTTTTTCAAAAGTTAACTCAATGGGGCACCTGGGGGGCTCAGTTGGTTAAGCATCTGACTCCTGATTTCTGCTCAGGTCATGATCTCAGGGTCATGGGATCGAGCCCCTCATCAGACTGTGCTGAACAAGAAGCCTGCTTAGGATTCTCTCCCCCCACCCCACCCCTGCTCTCTTGCACGTGCTCTCTAAAATACCAACCAATAAAAAAAACTCAAAATGGCTCATAGACCTAAATGTAAAATGCAAAACTATAAAACTCCTAGAAGAGAACACATTTGAAACCCTAGGTGACCTTGTGTTTGGTGATGACACCAAAAGCACAATCCATGAAATAAAAAACTGGTAAGCTTTCATTAAAATTAAACTTCTAATCTGCGAAAGAGAATAAAAACACAAGCCACAGAGTGAGAGAAAATATCTGCAAAATACTTAACTGATAAAGAAGTGGTATCCAAAATACACAAAGATCTTTTAAAACTCATCAATAAAAGCAATTAAAAATAGAAGATCTGAACAGATACTTCACCAAGATATACAAATAGCAAATAAGCATATAAAAAGATGCTCAACATCATGTCATTAGGGAATTGCAAATTTTAAAAAATGAGATACCACTACACACCAATACGAATGGCCAATATCCAAAACACTAACACCAAATGCTGGTAAGAATGTGAAGAACTCTCATTCGCTGCTGGTGGGATTGCAAAGTGGTACAGCCACTTGGGAAGACAGTTTAGCAGTTTCTTACAAAACTAAACATACTCTTATCATACTATTCAGAAATCATGCTCCTTGATATTTACCCAATTAGTTGAAAACTTATATCCAACAAAAACCTGCACATGAATGTTTAGTCATAATTGCCAAAACTTGGCCTTTAGTAGGTAATGGATAACTGTGGTATATCTAGACAGCAGGATATTATTCATCTCTAAAAAGAAATGTATTACTGAGCATGAAAATACATGGAGAAACCTTAAATCCACACTACTAAGTGAAAGAAACCAATCTAAAAAGGCTATGTACTGTCTGATCCAATTATATGACATTTTGGAAAAGGTAAAATTATGAAAACAGTAAGATCAGTGGTTTCCAGGGCTTCATGGGGTGGAAGGAAGATTCCAAGGTTTTATGGGGTAGAAGCAAGGAACAGGTGGAGCACAGGGGATTTTAATTCTACTCTGTATGATACTGTAATGATGGATACATGTCACCACACATTTGTCAAAACCCACAGAATGCATAACACAAAGAGTGAACCCTAATGCAGACCACAGACTTTAGATAAGAATAATGTATCAATATTGGATCCCTAATTGTAATAAATGTAACAAACTAAAGCAATAATGGGGGAACTGGTTGGAAGGGGAGTAAGGGGGTATATGGGAATGCCTGTTACTTTCCAATTTTTCTATAAACTCAAACTACTAAAAAAATCTATTAATTTTTAAAAATGCAAGTGCACTTTGACCTAGTAATTCCATTTCTAAGTATTTATCTACAGATATACTTCCACATGCAAAAAACGACATTTGTACAAGGATATCCTTGTCTGCAGCATTGCTTGGAATAACCGAAAACAGTGAAACGTAAGCCCAATGAGGGTGGGAGTTTTGTCTGTTTCCTTCACTGATCTATAATGTCCAGAACCATTCCTGGCATACAGTAAAAAAAATAAAATGTGTTAAATAAATGAGATGAATAAATCAGAGCCCAATTAATGTCACAACTATACAATGGAATATGTAACTACTAACACTAAAAAGAATAGAAAAGAAAAAGAATTGAGAAGCTCCTTAGTATCAATATAGTAATATGAAAAAATATGAAAAAAACAATGCAGGATAAGGTATATAACACATGTTCATTTGCATGAAGAAACAGAATATACATTCTTATTATACATATATAACATACATTCATATTATACAGTGTACACACTATTGTCCACCAAAGTAGTGGGAGCAATGATTGCCTTCAGACAGGGAACTAGATGGCTGGGGGCCTAAGAAAGAAGATTGATTTTTTTTCTCCCTGTATAGTCTATTCTGATACCTAACACTTGTTTTTGTAACACAAATCAGCATATATGCAATTGTAAGTAGGGAAATTATGTCACTTTAGCACAGACGTTACTTTGGTTCACATGTGATTTTCTTCAGCCTGTTAATGCTTTTGCATTACCAAGTAATAGCAGTTGAATACAAAGTACACAAACAATGAATACAACAAACAACAGAGGAATACAGTATTGTCTGTGATACTCATTACATGTAAGGTCTTCCCTCTGGTTCAGTTTGGCCACATGCTCAGACTTAGAATAG